CATGCATGCATGTATGTATGTATGTATGTATGTATGTATGTGAGTGTATATGTATGCATGCATGTGTGTGCGAGTAAGTATATGTGCGTGTATGTATGTATGTATGTATGTATGTATGTATGTATGTACGAATGCATGTCTGTGTGTATTTGCGTATGTCAGCGTGCACACAAGAAAAAGGTGTATTTATGCATGTATGCACCCATTCACCCATACATGCATGGATGGCTGGCTGGCGGGATGGCCGGCTGCATGGTTGGATGGATGGATAAATTGCCTTCATTGATCTGCACATGTAATGTAGATGGATAGACGCATACATCGGCTTAAGAGAAATACATTCTAAGACGTTACCATTGTACCGTGTAGGTTGGTCCTAGCCAGGCGGGAGGCAACAAACAGACGTCACAAAGAAGCCAGTCTTTGCACTTGCTGCAGTCGGCGCTGTCTCGTACGAGGCCTCGAAGCTTCATTAGGTCTTGAAAGCTCCTGAGCCTCGGTACCTGCAATTTGCAATCACAGCAGATCTGGTGGTTTGAGACCGCTGCACCCCGGATGATTCAATCCTGCCCATGGCAAGCCCGGAAGTCTGCCGATGACTGCTGCGCAGGCATTCCCTGGAACAATCCCAGGCGAGATGGCCTCGTATCCCCGGTCAGCGGCACCGGCCGCCGCCCGGACCGCACTGGGGGCCAGCTGAAGAAAGTTTCTCTTGGTTATTAGGGCAACGGTCCGGCATGAAGCCATCATTTCTAGGCCACGACAGCTGCGCTCTTCCTTAGGATGTGCTGAATCCCCAAGATTATCGCGCCAGTACTACCGCGGTGTCATAGATCCTCCGAATCGAAGCATTCGAAACAAAAGACGAGAAAGACAATCTACTCATTGTGCTGTCCTGCGCTGTGAAGATAATTCGAGGCAGCTCGAAGGCAAGCTAGGCTTTCATACGATTGGATTCCTGAACCAGTGGCAATGAAGCTGGAATTGGCCTAGCACCAGGCGTGGCCTCCGCAGCCAGCACCCTATGCAATGGTACAGGCCAGAACCGTGCTAGGACATGCTGCGCAAGCCGTAGCTAATGCACACCTCTATGCCTCATGTCATGAAGTCTGGCCAGTTAGAGCAGAAGTTGCAAGGCAACGCAATCCCGAGTCCTGGAGTTTCAATTTGCATGTGCCCCGAAGTCCGAAGCAGGCGGTCCATGCACCCTATGTTGCACAGCCGGTCTGTGGCAAGCCAGTGGCAGCCTCAGGGCTGCTGTCCCAATTCCCTGCTGGCGCAGCATTCGGATGGGTGCTTGCGCGCCGCACCCGCTTCCCTTCCATCATCTCATCACCGACCCTGGAGATGTCGCCGCAAGCCCCGAAGTCTGAGGTCGGTGAGCTGAATCTGGGGCTCATGAGCCGCTTGGCGCATGAAGTACAACCCTTGAAGCTCCAGGAGCCGATTCGAGGGTGCACCGGGCGCCAAATGAAATCCAAGCGCTGCAAGCCTTGGGCCCTGGGAGCTCAGAAGCTCACGATCCTTGAACCCCCAAGTTCCAGCTCTTCCTTTTGTCCTTCCGTCTTCGCTTCCCTCGTTCCGCATGCAATAGGATTCGCAGATGAGCTTGGGTTTTCATTCTGATTTCCCAGCTGTTGCAGCAGAAGCCTCTGGCCCAGGCTCTACGACCACAGCCGCTCCTTCCTCTCCCGACGATGCCAACTCCACACCCATCTTGCCGGGCACCAAAGGGGACTTATCTGTCACGGATAGGCAGAGGGAGGGGTATCAGTCGCACCGTCCCGGACCCTTGGTCTTGATTGAATCTATTCGCAACATCAAACCCTACACTTCCCACGCACTTCACATCTTGGGAACGATTTCAGCACACTTTCGTCAATGCTTGCTTGCTGGATACAGTACATGATATCCATAACACCCTGGCCGCAGTAGATGCCGCCTCGTGACATATGTTGGGCACACCCTTTCTTGCAGGTTCTGTCCGGAGCGCCGACCGATGCCCGGCAGTGCCTCAAGCTCTCTCTCGGCCCCGTGTGGGCCTGAGGATCTGAGGATTCTTTTTGGAGGTTTGAGTTTCTGGCATCATAAACTCACTCATGATGCAGTCTTTTCGTGCGCCGCCCTGTTTCCTGGCACGGCTGCTAGTTAAAAACATGAGGCGGCATCAACTTCGTACGGTCCCATTAAATGTCATGTCTGCATGCACTGCCTCCCCGTGGCTATCCGATCTGCGCCCTAGCAGGCCTACAGACGTCAAGCTGAACACAGGGGCTGACACATGGCTGCATGTTTGCGGAAACCTTGGAGAGAACTTAGGGAGGTACCTTCAGATGCACTTGATCGAAGCACGTGCATGCGATGCTCTCATGTCCTCTCCAGAGACTCATCTTGACGAAGACTTCGAAGCACGTGCAAGGAGGCGGCTGAGATCCGGCTGAGATTTGAAGCTCCGCAGGCAGGCTCTTTGAATCGGGGCAGGGGCATCCCGAAGTCCCTACCCTGCGAGGCGACTTGCGAGGCAGACCGACCAGGCCGGCCAAGCCCAAATTGAAAGTTCTGTCTTCTGTGCTCGGTTTTGGATGCAAAGCCTCGCAATTTCGTGAGGGGACATCCGTGTGTTGAACCATGTCCCAGGTGCCTTGAGCTTACATTGACATGAACCTAGCCGAAACCCACCTGCCCTCCGGAATTGAGGTACGTTCCTGAGAGCTTAATTAAGTTCAAGCTGATGCTTTGAGGTGCACCTCCTGGCGACACAGGGCGGAAGCCGACAAAGGGCGAGGCCGGCCCTCCAGTCAGGATGTTCCAGTCCCATGTAGTATGCAAGTCCGGAAGCAGAAGCGCAGCTTTTCCTGGCAGCCCAGAAAAGGAATCCTTTTCCCAAGCTCGAGCTCGGCTCAGGGCAAAGTCTTCATCGCTTGCCCCAAGCCTGCAGGCACCAAGATTGCAATTTTCCAGTCGTCAAATTTTCTTCTCAGTTCCAGAGTTCGGAGGCTTGGTCGGGTGTGCTGGTATTCTTGTGTTGATTGGTTGATTGGACGGCTTGGCAAGGTATTTGGCATCACTACGAGTACAGAGGGGTCCCAGTGCGGTCCACAATATAAATTCGGAGGAAGGAAGCGTATAACTTGGGAACATCAGCCTGTGCGATGAAGACCCGCGCTCCAGTTTCGGCATGACCAGAGCGTTGCAAGCACAAGGCCCAAAACATTGCAAGCTCGGCACCAGGCCGGGCTCGGTCCCCTGACGCTGTGCTGTTGGGCCGGCCCGTGCCCAGCACCGGTACCTCGACTGCAGAGAGCGGCCATCAGGTCTTTAAGGCTAGTTCCTGGCCAACCATCTTGGCAATTCTTCGGATTGTACATGTAGGCTTCGTGTGAGCAGGTGGTGTGCGAACGCCGGTTCCGGGCGGGACGAAGATGGCTCCACAGGCTGGGCACTTGCTGAAGTTCAAGGCTACTCAAACCACGATTGCCAAGCAGAGCAAACAACGTAGTCGTTGAGCACAGAGTGAAGTGCCAACCCACATTTCACGCAACGGCCTAGGAAGTGGTGGTGGTTCGGGTGAGTCAAAAGATGCAATAGGTAAGAGTAGTTGCAAATCTGGTCGTTTCCTGGTCGTTTAAGAATGTAGCCAATGGTGGCGGCAACACCTCATGACAACTCTGTTGATTGATGATTTAAGACGGAGAGCTAACATAGTTGAGCACTGGTGCTACAAGACACGGTGCAGACTATGCCATCAGTTCCATTGCAAAGAGCGCAAAAGGACACTTCAACCGTTCTGGAATAAGGGCCGCAAGCCTGCAAGTGTGATCTTGGCAAGGCTGGCACCAGGATCCCAGTACAGGCCACGGTAGCCTTTTCATGTTTGGATCTATCGGGAAGTCCGACGTGTTGGAGTGGGTTTGTTTGAGCTGGTTTGACTCCAAAATGTCCTGGTTGCTTGTCTCCACTTCGTTTTAGTACGTAGTGTATACATTGAAGCACGAGGTCGGCAAGGTAGGAATGTTAAGCCACGGTGGTTTAGCCTGTGCACTTATGCAAATTTCCTCAGTTGAGAGTGCACGCAGGGTGCCGTCAAGACCCCGATGCCCAACGCTGCAAAAGCGCCATTGCAGGGCGCAAGGACATGAAGCTTCGTTGTCATTGCTGGAATCGGCTTTTGAAGTAGCTGCGAATGTAGTCACGAGTCGCGATCATCAAAAGTCTGCAGATGCTGGTAGTTGTGCTTCTGGTAATCACGATCGCGAACATGATACCTATGATGGTCCTCGTCACATGATGAACAGTCAACAGTGGTGGCATTTGCGTTCTTCTCTTGTCCCTTCAGAGTATGAGTATTGTTAAGGCTATGCATGTTAGTATACATTCATACTTTGTATTTTTCTTACCTGTTGGTGACCATGGATGAAGTGGTATCCGCAGCATCCATTGCTGAATCGGCTTGGCCGATGTTGCAGTCAGTGTTTCGGTTTCGAAGCATCACGGCGGTAAAACTGGTGTGGCAACTGCCAAGCTTTCAGGCCCAACGGCGAGGGGTTCCATGTCAACAGCGCTTTAGCCCGTACTCTGTAGCATTGCAGGACTCCGGTCCCGGGCGGCGTGCGCACTCCGGTGTCAGGTGGCTATCTTTTGTTCTTGTCGAATGCAAGTCGAGGATAAGGCGAGAGAGTACGCGCCACGCGAGTCTGGTGCTGGAGCCTGAAAGCCACTGTGAGGCGGCGTGCTCACTCCCGGGCCTCCCGGACAGGGTGGGGCCAGGACCCCTGTCTCCCCGCTGCCAGGCGCGGTCTGTGAAGTACTTGTTTGTTTTCTGAAAGCAAAGACTCAATCTTTAAGCCTTGGACAATCGATACAATGAGCCTGCGCCTTTCGTCGAATGGCTTTAGAAAGATCCTAAGATCCTCAGAGCCTGTTTCGGGTGTGGACTGAAGCTTGGGCTGATTTCGAGAGGGCATCTTTCGTGTTCATGGATGGATCGATTCCGTTCGGCTTCAGCACGTTTTTTTCCACCGATATGTTATCTTGCACAGAGAAATTTTGAGATCCTTCGTCGGCATACACCCCTAGCCTCGTCCATTCGACACTGCAGGGATGAGCAGAAAGCAATCTGTAATCCAGCGAGGATCTGGAACAAGTCTCCAAGCATGACTTCACCCCCAGGTGTTGGGTGCTGGAAGTCAAGGATCCCAAAGAACTAGAGCCACCAAGTGCTTGCATCGCCTGCGGAGGCGCCCGGAGCCCGCTTCAGCCGCACAAGGTGCTGCTTAGAGCTAAGACCGGTGCCCTGGGCGGCAAATCTTCATGCGCTTACTTTGCAGGGAGCGATTTGGGGCATGAGGTGAGCTCTGATGCCTTCACCTGCGAAAAGTGAGTCACAATGGAAGCTTAATCTCCGGCATTCGGAGCTGGTGACTGCTTCACCGCAATTTTAACGCTACGCGGTGTGACACAACCCAGCAATGCTCCAGGGAGGGAGGGGAGTGGAAGGCAGAAAACGGTCGGGAAAAGGACCAGAAAGGAGGGGGGAGGGGGGGAAGGGCAAGAGAGATGTGTGGAAGCGGGGCCTGGGCGGGGTCAAGTAGACCAAAAGCTGGGTGTGACTCGCATATCAGGGAGGAGGATTAGGTAGAGTGTACTGAGTTAACCCCCAAGACGCCTGAGGCCTGTGGCCTCGGCGGATTGATGTGTAGGTGCGTATGTAGGTAGGTAAGGTAGGTGGGCACAAGCAGACAAGTTTAGAGTCTTGAGGTGCGGACCTGACTCCGCCATCCCCGACACCAGCGACAGGGAGCCCGGCACTAGTGAAGAGCAAGACCGGCCTGAATGCAAGGAGGGGTTTTCCTAAGTTAAGCGGGCGACACTCTTGTCTAGACTTGGCTTCGTGCTTTGCTTTTTGACACAGGTGCCTCATTGTGAGCATGGGCTCCAGAAATTCCTTGATGTCATGAGCAAGTTGTTCTTTCACCTTGTGCTGCAGTGAAGTGCATGGTGTCCGCTACGTACGGGGGAATTTTGAAAAGAGACAACTTGCGAAAGTTCCATAAACTTCGCATAAGACGTAAGCCCAGACAACACCCTCGGCGGGCAGGCGTGTGCCAAGCCCGGTGCTGGGGCACCGCCTGGTGGCGCCGGGATCCGAAAAAGGCACAGCGGGCCAGGGTGCCAATTGTGCCAATCTTGACGCGAAGAAAGCGTGATTGCAAAGCCAAGGGCGTTGCCAAGCTTTAGGCCTCAGCGCCAAGTGCTTGCGACTCGCGATTTCCAGGAAACCGGAGCTGCTCCCCAGAAGGCGGCCGCCTGCCTGGGCAGCCTCCCGACACTAAAAAGTTCCGGCTTGCAGCGGCTTGAGGCTTTCTGCTTGTGTTTTCCCAGTGCTGTGGGGTTCGAGGAAGTCGTTCTCTAGATTTGCAGACTGCTGGCAGACGGCTTGCAGTGGGCACTGAAGAGCCGGCTAATGCCGGCTGTGCATGGCCACGTGTGACCCATGCATCCAATGGCAAAGCCACTGACGCAGCCTAGACGGAAAAGATCCGGCAGTTCCACCCAGGACCAGTGCTCCACCGTCACCACAACTTCCGAGCCGCACAGTGGGGGTGGCCTGGCTACAAGCTATTCCTTGACAGTGCATAGGCTGATGCTGTGGGGGTCGCAAATTGCTGCATGCCTTGCCGCAGCGCAGCACGCTTGGAAAAGAGGCCACCTTTTCAAGCACTGCGTATTCCCAAGCAAAGTCTCGACGCGCGTCTTGCTAGCACGACCTCTTGCGACAATGGCCCAGCGTAGACAAGCCCTGGGATGCCATGTGAGACCTCCGGTTTTTGCCAGGCGGCTTGCCGACTCCGAGTTCATAGCCCGCGGGGCCAGAAGGACTGGCCTGGGGGGATTTGGGCATTTCACCGTCCACATCATTCGTTTGGTCTGCCTAGTGACAAATGCCTTCTTGAAATGGGACCGAAGAAATCTGCCACACCTGAACAGCATCTATATACTGGCAAGCATGCCGATTCTTCTTCAGACGACCTGCTGGATGTGGTTTTTGCTGTTGAGACGGAGACCGAGATGTATATCCCCTCCACGAAACCCCCCAAAAAGATGCAAGAAACACTTGCAGGAGAAGGCCGCGCAAGTGACCAGGACGTGCAGTGAGGGCGAGGACGCCCTCCACAAACTGCACGGTGCCCTTGGCGCGCACAGGGGCCATGGAAACTACCCTCGATGTGCATCTGCCGGTCTGCGGGTTTTGACGGGCTGTGTACTCCCGTTCCTGCTGGAGGTAGTGCCAGCTTGATCAAGGATGCCCTGGAGAGCAAGCAGAAGCTGCAGAAGTATGCCAAGCCACTGGCTCGGAAGTTTCTCCGTGTCCTGCGAGCTCGGAGTCGGCCTGTTGCGTTGAGCCGACAGAGCCAGGTCCTGCTTCCAAGCGTCAGACGCCAATGGCGACGGCCAAGTGAGTGCCGCAGTCTGCAACTGGCAGCTGGGGGCGTGCGTGTTGGCTTGTAGAACGCTGTTGATGGTGCTTGTTATCAATCTGGGATGCGAGACTTGTTTGAGGTTTCGAGGAGCTTTGCAAGTGCTCCTTGGCTGCCGGGGATGACGAGGGGTGTCGGGGTGTTGAGGCACTGCCTGGCATCTCTCTGTTGACTCGTTTTTGTCTGTGTTGGAGGGGCTTCGTCCAACATGTCAGCTCTTGCTTGCAGCACGATTTGGGCTCGGACTTCCCAGACTGCATCCTTGCCGGTTGGGCTTGTTTCGAAGCTGCCTGCGAGTTCCGGATCTAGATGAGTCAAATTATGTCAAATGCAAAGCACTTGAACGGTGACGGACTAGGTTTGAAGGGCTTGGAGAATTTTGGGGTGCGGGGGCTTAAATCATTCGGGCTCCCGAAATCTTGAGCATAGGCCTAAAATCTCATGCATTGCGCAGGCATGCAGAAGATGAATGCAGATCTTGGCATTGGAGATTTCACGGAGCGGCACGTGATGTGCTCCGGGCTGAATAATGTGCTTCCAAGCCGTTGGCTGTGTGTTATGGTAGAACTAAACCATTCCGAATTTGTTGTCGCCATTGTCGTCGTTATCATCATCAGCAGCGCCGCCATCATCATCATCATCCTCATCCTCGTCCCCATCCTCATCATCACAAGCACGGGCTGCGAGCGGCTCCACATGCAGGGTCTGCGCATCGAAGACAGTCCGTCAGTGAAGATGTATGTGGGCTGCAGCCAACAGATGTCACTGCAACAAAAGCCAGAGGGCAGTCTTTCAATCGATGCCTTGTTTGTGTTCCGCGGCGCCCCTATCGATACCTCCAAATAAGAGCTTCCAAAGTGCAGATCGCCGGCGTTTCTCCTCTGTTCGCAGCTGGCACAACTGGTTTGGTGGGCGTAGTGTTGGGCATGTCACAGACATAGCCCAGAACCAACACCGGACAACAACCAGCCACATGTGCCCAGGTGGCCTGCCGACATAAGATTCATTTTGTGCATTGTGCACCCAACAATCCAGGGCCAGCGATTCGAAGGCCAACCCTCCAAGAGATGCTGGCAACGGGTTCGATCGGGATAGCTGGCGCATCTCTGGTGATCGAACCCTGATCTTACTGATTCCTGCTAGCAGACGACTGGCGTGGCAACCTGCATGCAGCTAAGCTGAGAAGGCACTACCTCCAGAGATTCGACACCGACGGCGACGAGCTGCTCAATGAGAAAGAGCTACCCGGCCGAATCCGAAGGCGATGTCAAATCTGAGAACCTTATGCCCTAGGTTCCAAGAGCTCTACAGGGCCCTGCTTCTGGTGAAGCTGGAGGATCTTGCCGGGGTTTTGCAGCCAGAAAGCCTCCATCAGCCCTGGCTGAGCAAAGATCATGTGTCTTTGATGACGGGAGCTTGGCGTCAAGTGTTCAGCTGCCTGCGATCTAGTTGATGCGAACTCTGCAGAATCTTCAGTCACGATTGTCCAGCAAGCAATCCAAGCCCTCATAGACGTTAGCCACACCACCTACAATCGAATCCTAAGCATCTGAAGACACGCCAAAGGTTGACCTTGCAAAGGTAATGTGTTCAGCAGGTGTAAGGTTGAAATGCCAGATAGTAGGATTTCGACATGCAGAATGTTGAGTATCGCGACTGTGATGGAAAATGGCCGTAATAGTGCTCAGAAGAACTGGACGACGAGCCTTTCCGTTTCGGATAGACAGTCGGAGGAAGTGGAGCCTGCCGACTTCTCGCGGGATATGTTTATTGGCCGACGGAAGGCTGGGCTCGGCTGTGAACTTTTCTAAGCCCAGCTTATGCCCAGTTTGTTTGTCGTTAAAGGCCCAACTGTGATTTCCAATCGGATTCTACTCGGCTTCCAGCACCGTCAGGTAATTTAGGCCGGTGTATTCTGTGCGATACTATCCTTTTCTGCTATGCACTGCTGTTCAGCGATGCCATTCTGTGCTGTTCCGGTCTATTGTGTATTTCCTGGCTGAGATCGCGGGCTTCGTGAAAGCAATGACAGCCTTGCTAAATAGGCCGTTTGGAAAACACGATGGCTGCTCCTGGTGTGAGGTGCTGCTATAATCACTAGTTGCCAGAAACGCGGGTGCGCCACACTCGGTGATGCTGGATGGCGATCCCTTCACACCTGTGTAGGTGGCTATAACTGGCTAATAACCTTTCGCCCCGATGCTCACGGCAGGGCAAGCCGGAGGACAACTACGAGGTCTTCGGCTTCCTGCCCTGACATGAACCTTAAGGGGGCCTTCGGTTATGTCTGAACTCGAACCCTCTTTCAACCCTTCTGCCCGAAGCCGAGGCATCGTGGGGGTCGGCTCTTTCGGAGTGGTCCGGAAAGTCAAGTCGGGAACTCGGGGGGCTTTTGTGCTTTGCCGCGTCGGGCTTGAGGGATTCCAGTGTGGCCTTGTAGTGAGTACCTGCAAGGATAGGGTTTCAGGTTCCAAATTGGATGTAGGGTTCTGATGTCGCAGCGCTGTAGTGATAGCATGATC